TAATTTTATACGCCGCCATGTTGGTGGAGTGAAGTTCCAACATGGCGGCCAGCGATTCGAAACTAAACGTAAACAGCGAGGCAGAAAAAGTAATTATTTATGAGATTCCTTTGTCTGAACATGCAAAATCTCTCGAATACTGATTGTGGTGTATTTCAAATGATTAATCATATATCAAATGATTCAGATTGTGGTGTATTTGCAATCGCTTTTAAGACAAGTCTTGTTTACACAATTGATCGGTGGATCCAAATATCCCACGATTTTATAATGTACATGCATTAATACAGAAGCGAACTTACTTGTATGCTTGCCTGAAAGCTGGTCTCATTACTCTTTTTCCGACGGCTGAGAGCACAAAATAAAAAAGCTTACACCAATATTCAGTTTGCATTTTTATTGAACTGTTAAAATTATTATACATAAAACTCTATCAAAGATACAAACTTTTTCCATTTGAAAATTATTATTGACTTAAGACTTTTGGTGGTCAAGACTGAGAACCTCCAAGACTGGGCAACAGCATGTTGTGTAAACACGGGGCAGATTAGCACACCAGGACCCCTATATTGTTTAACTGGACAACATTTTATTTTGCATATTATTCGCACAATGTCATGTTGGTCTGTTAAATTGTTAATCTACCCCTGTGTGATTGCAGACTTTTGCACAACCTTTTGGCTAATCTCAGTACTTTACACAAAATATGGCTTTGTCAAATCATATCTATGGGACCCTAAAATAGTTTATTGCCCTGGCCTACACCAAGTCTTTGGGTGACCCAATCAATTAGTTAACCCCCACCAATAATACAGTCCCAACAGACATGGATTTTACATTGTTTCAATGCTCATGGTATTCAAACAGGCCTAGCTGAAATAGTGATGTATTTATTCCCCATATCACAAGCCCCCATGAGAATTGCATGAAATATTATTGCGGAGATTAGCCAGCATGTCGTGAAACAAACAGGGATAGATTTTTTACTTTGCAGCTGCAAAGGCTTTGCAGCTGCAAAGATTTTTGACAAAGTACAATTAAAGTAGCTTACTAATCCACGCCTGATTTACACAACATGCTGCATTACACAACATTTACACAACATGCCCAGTGGTCACCATGAGGAGGTTCTCACACTTGATCACCAAATTTTCAAATGTTGAAAGAATGTGTTTCTGTTTCTTGGTGAAAACATAATGTTGTAAAATACTTTACTTCAATCAAAAGGTATATAGTATGAAGGCAAAGGTTCAGGGGCGGCGGAAAGTCGATAATTGGGGGGGCTGATATTCATATATTCATGTTCTGCATCATTTATTTCCTTTGAAAGCGATTGTTTTTACAGTCTGTGAACACGAATATATGAATATCAGCCCCCCCAATTATCGACTTTCCGCCGCCCCTGCAAAGGTTTACTAGTGCAGAGCAAACTTTAATCATTTCCCTTTTTCTGCAAGTAAGGTAATCGTTCATTCAATTGGCAAAGTTTGTTGAAGAATGGTATATTTCAGTCTCAGTAAACCAATAATTCTTTCGACATGTATCCGGACAGTAGCCTGCTCACAGACGTTGTAGTTCTTACGCCAAGCGACGAAATACTACCGTCTGCTTACCCGAGCTGCATATTCAATTCCCTTTGTTTTAGCCGAGCCAATCATCTGGCAGTGTTCAAAAACATTAGAGCCAATTATTGGAAGCCGCCTTATATATTGAGAGATTAGCTACTGGGAAAAGCCCTTGCACATGCATTGGAATATATTGTTTGGGTTGAAACTTGAAATTTGTTTACTTGCGTGGATATATTTTGGAAACTATAGCGTTGAACTTCACGATGTTTACGTAGAATAATATTGTTATCATCTTCTCGCATGTTCAACAAACAATCGGTGTATATAAAGTGCTAAAGCAATGCAGTAGGCGAAATTCAAATTTTTGTTTATAACAATGACAAACAATCAATCGGGAACCAGGATATGTCCAAATGTTGCTCTTGATACTTCCTATATGCCATGACTTCGACGAAAACTTCTAAAAGATTAAGCTCTCATTGCCATGTAGAAAAGTATAGCCAAGTTAGAGTATATTAAACGTTTCGAAGTTTGGGCGAATTGGAAAATTCATCACGGCCCAATTTTAATACAAGTTTCTCGGGTTTGTGTTGTGTTTACAGTTTACATTCAGAAGTGGTTGCTCAGACAGCAAATTGGTTTACTTTGAAGCTAATATTTCGCTTTCTAAGCCACAGTATTATATAAAATTTTCTGTCTTCCGAGTTCTGTTGTCTTATAAAGATAAACCGTTCAAATTTCAGCGAAATATATTCGGCATTTGATGCCGTCTGGCTAAGATTCATACAGTATAAATATGCCAATCCTGTCCGCGTATTAAATATATTAAACCGAACATCTTTAATATCCAAATCTGATCATTAATGGTGCATTTTATTACCTGGACAAGTATCAGTATCTTTAAATTCAATTTATGTGCAATTTTGACCAAAATTTAACCGACGACTGCTTTCAAAATATATATTTATATTTATTCCGCTCCTTAAATCAACTGACGTCACTTTCCAGAATTTGGAAGGTAAATTCTGATTGGTCGACGTAGCGGAATTCAGTTTGGCGCTCGGGTAAGCAGACGGTAGTATTTCGTCGCTTGGCGTAAGAACTACAACGTCTGTGAGCAGGCTAGACGCCCGCGATATTTGATGAACTTCGCACTTCGCCATGGATATAGGAGATCTAGATTGCTAACGCATACCTAGCGCAGGCGGGGCCTACACGCGAGTGCATAAAGCAAAATTTATGCATTTATTTAATGCACAACAACAGTAATATGATCTATTAGCAATTTGATTTCAATTCCCAGGGGCCTAAAATCTTTTATGCTTAAGAATTGCAAAATGATTTCTTAGGAAATTCCGAGGTTGCGTTTTTTTTTATACACCCTGTAGAAGCAAGTATTATTATTAGCATGGACAGCTATCTACAGGGTGTATCTTTAGAAATCAAGCATATTGTTAAAACTTGGATGCCTTTTCAATTAGTTCAATTGCACATATGCTGAACCGTGGTGCGTGAAATATTATGGAGTGCATATAAATTATTAGAAAAAGGAGAACTTTAGAAATCAACCATTGTTATAATTTGAATCCTTGAGCACTTTGCTAAGCCCACGAGTGCGTAACATGCGATCTACGTACAGTATGCACGGCAGATTGTTCCCAGGAGCAGACAATCTTTTGTGTAAAGGTCTCCTTTTTCTAATATATGCACCCATCAATATTTCACGCACCACGGTTCAGCATATTGCAATTGAAAAGGCATTCAAATTTTAACAATATCGTTGATTTCTAAAGTCTCCTTTTTTTGATACACCCTGTATAGGCCGTTTGTTGTGACCTCGAAAAGTGCCTAGTGCCTTTTCATTAAGCATGTCTTCGAACTGAAATATTTTTATGGGAACTATACTTTCGAACACGCTGAGTTCAAGTCCGAAAACTTCCCGCCACCCTCGGTGCGTCCAATCCCGGACTCACCTCCCTGCAAGTACGTTTGTTATAAGGCCAGTGATATAGCGAAAAGACTTAGAATTAACGTCCTTGTGATTTTACAGAGATATCGCTATAGGACTGAGGATTTTAGAAGGCGTTATCTGTACCTTCTCAAAGCTAGTTGTAGACAAGATATGTTGTTTACGTGCAACACGCCGAAGATTACATAACTCAAAATAATTCGGGCAAAACCGGTCTTTTGTTAAAAGGAAGACTGGTTAATAGAAATTGGTCGTTTTGAGTGATATAATCATGTGGCGTCATCCATCCGTGTCGTTGAACAATGAAAAAATTTGTTGTGAAATTTGCGAAGATAAAATAGCATTTTGTGAGAAAACTGCGGGCTTACGGCGGGGGAAGTTTTCGGATTCGAACTCACTACTCAGCGTTCTTGAAAGTGTTAGTTCGCATAAAAATATTTCAGTTCCAAGACATGCTTAATGAAAGTGAACGATATCAGGACGCAGCAAACGGCCTACTAAAAGCCTCGCTTTTTATTGCAGTAATTTTTTTTTACCGATAAACTCTGTTTCAGAACAGGGTGGACTTTAGTCTACGCATGGGCGAGAAACGTAAGCGTGGAGTGCACGTGAGCGCGGGTTAATAGCGTGACTGAATTCTAAAAACAAACACCAATTTGCCAAAACTACTCGTGCATGCTATGAAGTCGTTTTCTTGTTTCTTTAGTGTTTCTACGCTCACAATTTTAGGCACTAAGATTTCCAACTTAGAAGTGTTTGCGTTGGAATAAGAACGTGAAAGTAGAAATAAAAACTTTGTTGCAGCAGTTTAATTTCGCAGTACAATCAACATCCTTAGAAATTGTAAGCCAAACGTCGAAAAGCAAAATTTGCGGGAAAAAGCTACGAGCCCGCATTATTTTTATGCAGCGTCGACGAAAGTCCACCCTGTAGTTCTGTTTCAGCAAAATGATCACTCAAACTAGCTAAACACCGGCAGGATTTTTTTCTGAGGACAAGCATGCAATTCCCCTGCAAACATGATCATCATGCATGGGAGGTTTTGAAATAACATCAAATCTAATATAATGTATATTGCTGTACCGCTATATATAGATGGACTTTGTCATTCAAAGAGTCTTAATGGGAATAGGGAGTTTATAGCAAAGCTCATGGAGTGGTTGAATAATAAATCAACATGGACTCTGTGTTGGCAAGCATCTCGACATGGTTGGGCAGCGTCTACTTTTCATACAAACTGTGATTTTAAAGGACCAACTGTGACGATTGTTTCCGTAGACGCAGGAAAATATGTATTTGGTGGATACAGTGATATTTCATGGGAAGGTATATAGACTATACATAAAATTTTAGATTGAGCTGAACCGAAAGGATTTTTACTGAAATTTACAGCTTTTCATACGTCTCTATAGGCATGTATATTAAGTTTCTAAGGTATACATCATGAGATACGCATGTTAAACATTACATGGAATAACTATTGATTCTTTAGATTATTCGATGCCAGGGGCGCACATTCGAAAAAAATTTGGGGTGTCCTATGTTCTGGGACCGACTTTTGTAGTATTGGTAAGAAAAGCCAACTACTTAAAGCGCATAGACGGTAAGACGGTAAGACAGAACTTTTGCAGTGGGCTAAACTTTCGGAAGGGGGGGGGAATTTATGGATTTCGAGTGCGAGCGCCGTAGGCGCGAGGAAAATTTTGAATTTCTAGATTCATTAGAACGCTATTTCACGTATTTCAGGACAAGGTTTGAAGAAAACTTACAACCACAAAAAGGCATTTTTAAGTCGCCTAATGTTGTTAGATCGAAAAAATATTTATGTAAAACATAGTTTTGTACACGCAAATACAACAGCAAAATAACATCCTGTCTTCATTTTTGTAGAAGTCGTTCATGAGTGTTGCCTTGAGCGCAAATTCAAGTTTAAATGTGCTTTAAAGCAACCATAGGCATTTTTTACTGGAGTTAGGATTCTAGGTAGGGAAGACTTCAACTTTTATTGGCAAACAGAAGAGATAGGTATCATTATTCACACATCGTACCCCCACCCCAATTTCTGCCCGGATTTCAGCTTTTCACAAGGGCAGTTCTTATGCCCATTGCAGAGCCCCCCGAGCCCCCATCTTGGCTACGCCGCTGATTTACTTCTGCCTTCCAAAGTTTCAGCTTTTACGACAAGACTAACAATGCACATTTTAACTGCACCGCGGGGGCTTGAGGTAATCGGATCGCATTACGTTGGTTGAACTGTTGCAACACGGAAGTTGATTAGTTGCTCTCTTGGTTTGTGTCAGTGAACTCTAATTTGTGTATGTCTAATTCGTTTTTCTTTGTCTAATTCGTCTTTCTTATGTTTATGCAACTTCCATTTCCAGAATGTCCATTCAGGTTTTGGGACCGACTTTTTAGATATATTTCACAAAACATGGGGGGGGGGGTCACACCCCCACACCCCCCTAATGTGCGCCCCTGTTCGATGCATATGGTGCTGCCCATAATGAGGGTCCTGAAAAGAGGAGAGAGGAGGGTGTCTCTCGAGTCTGGATTTCATTTTCCAGCCGTTTTTTTTTACAAAATTCCAATTTCAACTGTAAACTTGAAGAGCAGTTGTTTTATATCTATATATGTGTTGACTTATTCTGCTTTCAATATTAATATATAGCTCTTTTTAGCATAACTTAACGAAATAAAAGGTTTCAAGTCTATATAAATAGCTGTCATTTTCTGCCTAGTGCATTGCATAGAAAAAGTAAATCACTGACACGATGAACGAGCTAAAATAACTTTGAGTCGGCTTCCATGCAAGCAGACGTTTTAACCAAACACTCGATCAAACATTGCTCGAATTGCATATCATCACACCATTGCGCACCCATGCTTGTAAATATTTATAACACTTGAATAATAAAATAACAAATTGTCATTGTTGCATTATTATATGTTTTCTAGGGATCATGTATGTACAGAAGCAAAGCTCTTCAGCCTTTTTGTTTTCACTTCGCAACAAGGATGACTTGGAACCATTCAAATCTTTAATCGCGCCTGGTTATGAGCTTTGGGCAGTATATCAGAGTCCATATACTGGTCCAGCGTTTGGCCAAGACGGTATAGAATTGTACGTTTCTGACAATGCACAATTCTCAACTTGCGAAGCAAATTTTGGCCAGGTTTTCAAACCTCCCCCTGGTTATAAGTTCAATAGAAAAACGACAAAAGTACTTCTAGGAGGAAAGGAAAAGTTTCTTCCAAGCGAAATTGAGACTTACTACCTTGCTGACAATTGAGAACAACCTTGTACCCAATAATAATAATAATAATAATAATAATAATAATAATAATAATAATAATAATAATAATAATAATAATAATAATAATAATAATAATAATAATAATAATAATAATAATAATAATAATAATATATATATATATATATATATATATATATATATATATATATATGTTAATGAGTATCCTTAAATGTTCAGTAATTCCGGATTTGACCAGTCCTTATCTCTGCAACAAAATATATAATATGTTGTCCTAATCGCGATAGACATAATTTTCCTGATAGCAAAATATTGGTGTCTTTTATCAAGACCTAGATCACTCAGCATATTTAAAAAGGAATCACATTCTTTTGAGAAAACGCCTAAAGAACTGATTGACAAATTTACAAATTTAGTTAAATTCTTTCTTTTGCTGTGTAATGAGATCTTTGTATCTTCTGCTTTTCCGATCAACATTTGTTTGGAGATTAGACTCATAACCAACAGAAAGTTCAAGGATATAGAGACAATCCGAGTTGATAGACAGAAGTAGGTCTGGACGGAATGTGTCACCATTTACAATTGATGGGCTCTTGTAACCAGGAAGATCGACGAAAAGATTGGAGTTGTTTACAGGTTGTAGGGTTTGTGCGATGAAGCTCAGAACAGAATCATGTCTCCATGTAAATCGTGGGAGGTACGCTTGACATCCAGCGACTACGTGTAAAAGGGTTTCAGTGTTTAAGCAGAAGGAGCAATCATCGGACAATATTCCCCATTTAGTAAAGTTTTTACGAGTTGGAAGTGAGTTATTGATGTAACGGACGGTGCAATTATAGATGTTCTTTGGGAGGTTTGATTGGGATTTAGACCATATGCCATTTAATTTTGACAGCGAAAAGTTAATGACATTTGAAAAGAAGGAGCCTTGCAAAATAATGCATAATAATAATAATAATAATAATAATAATAATAATAATAATAATAATAATAATAATAATAATAATAAAAATAATAATAATAATAATAATAATACGAATTATTTATATAGCGCCAATTCTCTAAAGTCCGTTAGCGCTTTACAAGATATATAACCTAATAACACAGAACTAAGAGGAAATCTTACAAGGTATATAACTAATTAAAAACTATGCTAAAAGATATGTCTTAAGAAGTTACTTAAAAATTCCAATATTATGACAGTTCCGTATTCTAGTGTCTGGTATCAGAGAGTTTAAGTTCGACTTCCGATACCAATACCGATACTAACAACATGTCATGCGCATGCTCTCTGCTCGCAAGAAGCACGAGGACAAGTGTATTGGAAGTCAACACTACCGAAGTTGGCCTTGTATTGGAAGTCGGGGGAATTGTAAGATAAACTCATATAAATCGGATATTTCATAATTCTTACGATAAACATGTAAACTATTTGTTTATTAGCGTCGCCTGAGTCATGTTTCAGTCGGAATTTTAGCTCAGCTGCCGTTTAGTATACCGCACATTTTCGGTGACGATTAATGTGTTCTATACTTCATCTGTCGTGATAACTTAACGCTTTAAAATTCCCGGTACCAAAATGAGAACGGAAGTGAAAACATTGGTATCGGTATTGGTATTGGAAGTCGAACTTAAACTCTCTATTGCATTCCACAATGTTGGAGCTGAAATAGAGAACGCTCTAAAACCATATGTATGTAGATTAAAATTACTTGTATCAACAAGGTTCTTTGAGAATGACCTTTTAACGTTCTTTTTGTTTCATATGCTTTAACTAGTTCTTTTAAATACAATGGTGCCATGTCATGCCAACGCTTGAAAGTTAAGAGAATAATTTTAAAATTGATTCGTTGTTCTACAGGCAACCAATGCAATTCCCTCAAAATTGGTAAGATATGCCCATATTGTTTAGATAAGTTTACCAATCTAGCCGCTGAATTTTGCACACTTTGAAGTTTTTGGATCAGCCGCTTAGGTAGTCCATAGTAAGATGAGTTACCATTGTCAAGCCGTGATGTTATAAATGCATGAACTATTGTTGTAGCAGCTGACTTCGACAAGTACATGTATTTCCTTATCCTTCTAATGTTTCGTAGATGATAGAATCCTGACTTGCATACTTCTGTATAATATGTTGCTCCATGGACATACCACAATCGAAAAGCATACCAATATTTCGAACATAGTTCGACGGTGTGACTACTTCACTACACACCGAAACCGAAAAAATAGGTGGTTGAGGAAGGTGTCGAGCACTGAGAACTAACAGCTCAGTTTTGTCTCTGTTCATTCTTAACATATTTGACGTCATCCATGCATCAATGTCAGAGACACATGCTTCAATCTTAGATTTTGCTAGATCAAGTTGACCATCCACCGATGATTTAAAAACTATATATAATTGGGTGTCATCCGCATACAGATGAAAATCAATACCATGTTGTCGAATGTCAGCCAGAGAGGACGTATAAAGCACAAACAACATGGGTCCCAAAACTGACCCCTGCGGAACGCCATGTTTCAAGTCATAACAATTTGAGGTTTGTCCTTCCACTTAACAAACTGTGTACGATCAGATAGATATGATGAAAACCATTCCAAGACTTTACCCTTAAAACCAAAACTTTTTTCCAATCGGGAAAGTAATATTTGATGATCAACCGTATCAAAGGCAGCCGACAAATCCAATAATAAAAGTGTTACCGATGACCGATTGTCTAATGCCAGGAGAAGATCGTTTTGAACTTTAACTGAAGCAGTGCTATGATACTTTTTATACGCTGATTGATACACTTCATATAAGTTATTATCCCAAATATAAGTGTCAACTTGGGACGCAACAACTTTTTCAACGGCTTTGACAAAAATTTCAGACTGGAAATTGGTCAAATGCTTGAGCGGAATTCTTCATGATCCAGAGACTGTTTCTTCATAGATGGTAGCAGAAGTGCCATTTTCAAACTGGGCGACATGATTTACTTGACATTTTATCAATTAATTTCCCAAGATTTTCAGATGTTACAGGGGTAAAGGTGGATAGCTCAGCCTGTATTGGGTATGTCTTTATTGTCATAATCAAAATTCATAGTTGTTTCAGACTAGAAAAGAAATTCGCAAAATCATTTGCCAAATTCCCAGAAACACAAATGAAGGATAAAGCTTTTCCGCTTTTTTATGAATCATCTTGTCTACAGTACTAAAGAGATTTCGTTGATCAGGTCCCAAACTATCAATCAAATCACCATAAAAGGACATTTTCCAATGAAAGACCAACTCATTGACTTTCATACATTGCTTAACATACAGATCTCTGTCGGTCGCCATATTAGAAGAACGCCAACGCCTTTCAAGTCTCCTTTTAATAATTCTTTGTGCATGAATTTCCTGTGTGTACCAAGGAGAAAAATCTCGTATTGTGACCAACTTATTAGTAGGGAAGCATGAGCGTCTAATAATGATCTTAGCACAATTTCATATTCCTAAACTAGTTCACTGACTGGCAAGGACCCAATTGATTCGGACATAAGGGATGATCTTCCAAGGTCTGTACAAAATTTTTCATAATTTATGTTCCTTAGCTTGCTACAACAAATTTCTTTCCTTTGTCGTTTAGGTTTCTCAACTGAAACATTCACAATTTACAGAAAAGTGGTCAGAAATACCCGGGTCGTTAATATATAATGAGTCAATGATGTAATGTGTAATAATTAGGGTTGACATTAGATTTTTGATG